ATGGTGTGAATCCTCTCCCCATTGGCCATTTTATACCAACAATATGACATCACTACATGTGGAGCTGGGAGAGCTGGGCAGTCACTCAGCAGTAGACAGTATTTCCAGCAGACAGACATGACATGACGTAAATATCCTTGGGCACAGATAGTAGTAAAAAGGAGTCAGATAACCAGAAAGTGCTGAGTTTTGGTATTTCATACTTTTGTCCTTAATATAATTTTTAATTGTGGCCATATACCATCCAGCTTGCATAATTTCTGAAAAAGCAGCATTTCACAGACACAGGTTTCCCAAGAGGACCTTCTCCCTCCAGTCAGCACACACTTGGGTGACCTCGCCAAGCATTCGGGACACCAAGTGTTCCAGCCAACCCAGGCAATGCGGGGAGACTCTGAGGTCAAAGGTTTCATCCCCCACAGGAAACAACCATAGGCTGGGCTGTCCCTGGCTCCCACACAGCAGAAGCTACTCAGGTGCCAGCAAACTTGCAGAGGACAGAACCTCTGCCCAGAGCAGAACCCCTTGCTGGCCACTGCTGGGATCCAGATGCCAGGGACAGGGCTGGAGGGTACAGGATCTCGAGGGGCTGCTGGGTGCCACCTTTAGCCTATGGTAGGGACCAGGCAGAAAAGGGAGCTACCATCACTCTGTTGTCAGACAGTAGATCAGATTCTGTTCCCTTAAAGTAAGGAAAAGGGGCCAGGGCAGGCTTTCACAATAGTCTTTCATTACAGCTGAAAACTGTGGACCCCTTCCTATAATGGACAACGACTGACATGCACAATAAACACAGCAACAAGTCCCTCAGGAATAAAATAGCTCCAAGGTTGTTCTGCAGCACCCTCTGGCATTGGCAGGTGGGATAACAGGAGAGTGGTGAGATGCTGGTGTGGTTGGAAGGGGCTGGAGGGCAGCCTCTGTCCCTACAAGGACACAGGAGACAGCTCAAAACAGGTGCCATGTGGCCTGGCCTTGTGTTCTCCTGGCCCCTGGTTGTCAGTCACTCTACTGAGGGTGGAGCCCAGGGCAGGATCACTGGGCTCTGAGCAGGTCCTGGAGGTGCAGAGAGCTTGGAGGAGCCACCACAGGTCCATTGAGTAGTCCCACGGGGCCAGCTGGGGTATGGGTGTAGTGTGGTCATCACAACCCTCTTGTAACCCCTCCTTTTGCACCTGGTATCACATCCCACACAGGAGCTGCAGACAGGAGTGTGACTGATGCAGTTCTCTGTGCAAACTCAATGTGAGGCCAGGCCTTCTGGACTCATGGTGCCTTGGGGATGATGGAACAGAGATGCTGGAACCCAGGACCAGGAGTCAGTGTCCCCAACTGAGGCCCCAGCTCTGCCACTCTCTGCCTGAACCCTGTGCAGTTCTGTGCTGACTCACGTCTCTCAGCCTCAGTTTCCATCCCTGCCAGGTAAGAATGATAGTACCTGGTCACGCGGAGGATTAGAAGATTATGCCCAAGGTGCCCAGCTGGCAGAAGAGGCTTAATCAGTGTTTCCTCTGTGGCATGTTCTTATGGATGGCAGAGACTGGGGCAAATGTGAATCAGCAGAAATGAGGCACTTCAGGTCAGTAGTACTTTGATATGGTCTTTTGAGACTTGGAAAGTAGGTCTTTCAGGACCATTCAGGGTAAGCCTGCCAAGACCCCAGCCCCAGGGTCCCCCTCATCCTCACCATGGGAACCCATAGCCTCCACTGCTCCTTCTTATGCACAGGGCACAGCCTGGACTCTTTCAGGGGGACTTAAGGAGCCCTAAACCAACAGCTCTCAATCTCGGAACAATCTGAGTCTGGTGGGTCACCAATCTCCAGAACTACCCCTTGGTTAGATTCTCATCTGTCCCAGGTGCAGTCTGGCAGCAGTAGGTTCAAAAGCCCCTGGGCCATTCTCATGTGCAGTAGAGCTGAGAACACTTGCCTCAAACCACAGTCTCAGTTGCTGGGAACCACAGCCACTTGGTGTCAGCCCAATCCTCCCTGACAGTGATGTGGATGGTAGAGGGGTCGCTTCACCCAATCAAGCCCACTCCTCTGTGTCCCCTGTGACTGGACCCTCAGTCACACTCTGAAAGCTTTAGTCCAGAGCCCCTGTCACCAGTGGCCCTGTCTTCTACTCCACCTGTCATCTGGACCTCACTGCCTCTTGCTACCAAACTCATCTCTCCCTGATAGCCACACGCTTGGCTGGGCCCTGCTGACAAAGGAGCCATTACCTCCTTCCTTGAGGGGCTGACAAGTGGCTAAGACTGCGGTGGTCATCTGTGAAGAAGCACTAAGGAGAGACGACACTTCAGGAGGTGGAAATGCTTCCAGTAGAAATAAATTTCCCCTTTATAATGGTGGGGTCATGCATGACCCCTCTTTGTATCCACAGGTCCAAGCACAGAACCTGATTTGTGGCTGTCACCCATTGGGACGACTCAGGGCAAGCCTGCTGAGCCCCCAGCCCCAAGGTGCCCCTCATCCTCACAGCAGGACCTGTAGAGCCTCCACTGCTCCTTTTCAAGCTCAGGGTACAACCTGGACATGAATGAATGAATGAATGAATGAATGAAGTTGGGATTCCATGTTGGGTTCCCAGCCTCTGAACCTTTTGTGAATTATCAGATGTCTGAGTTGAGGGTAAGTGACCCTCAACCTCCCAGGCTGGGGCAGTTAGGGAAAGTGTGGGAGGTTAAAGGTAAGTGTGGGAGGTGATGGCAAGGAGAATGAAAACCAGGAAGAGACAGTCCCTGGGGCACCCTAGCTCCTCTGAATTCTGGTAGGGCCCGAGACTCATCCTGCATCCCATGGAGGCTCATGGCCTCTCACCGCAGTTGCAGGGGTGGGCAGCTCTCGGGCAGCCCTAGTCAGCCCTGCAGCTATGACCAAGTCTCTGTTGGAATTCTCTGTCCCCTCATCCTGGGGTCTCCCCTGCAGCTGTTGCCCTGCTGGGATCTCACGCAGCTCAACTCACACATCTAGAGTTAGGTTGTCTTGGCTCTTCCCCGCCTGGGACAGGGGTCCTGAGGTTGCCTTCATGGGGCAAACATTGGTATTACCACGGCAGTACACAAAAACTCCCATTCCTGCCAAGCCTGACCTAGGAGTCCTGAGTCTGGTTTCACTCTGACTTTCTAGGCAAATTCACCGCCTCCTTGGAACCCAGCTCATTCCTTTGTTTCTTCTGAACTCCTTGGGTGGCCTGTCAATCCCCTTCTCTCTAGAGACTTCATGCAGACAGGACTCCTTTCCTAAGGGACTGAAGGAGTTTGCTTCTTTCCCTGAACTGCTCCAGCCCACAGTTCTGCAGATGTCAAAACCCACAAGAGGCGGATCCGTAAAGAAGTGGGAGCTCAGAGGCCGACCACTGCTGCTGCATGTCTTCCTTCCCAGTGTGAAGGCCGCCACAGCCAGGACCACAGCCAGGAAGACCCCTGCAGCGATGGCAGCGCTGTGACAGCTCCCCTGGGAGCTGGCCATCTCCTCCGCATCAGCCACCAACAGGTCTAGGAAGGAGAGGAGATGGCAGTAATAGAGTAGGGACCAGGATGGAGCCTGGCAGAGGAGAAGAGAGATAAGCAAAGGCCGTGGCCCCCTACGCATGGTAAAGGCCATCAGAGCTGTTTGGTGGGGAGGGATAAGAAACATGGAAAAGGAAGTGCTAGATGGGAAACTGAGGGCAGGCCCCAATGGGCAGCTGAGTGTCAGACTAGAGAGATTTCACATTTGTCAGCCAAGGAGAGAGTCAGGGAAGGTTTTCTGAGCAGAAACCGGGAACTGGGCTTTGGGAGAACAAATCTAGCCTGAGGCTCCAGATGGATAGGAGGGGAGAGAGTTGGGTATTTTAGACCAGCTGGAAAATGATCACAAGAGTCCTAGGTAAGAGGTCCCCAGGACGTGAGCTACTGCAGCGGCTGCAGGGAACAAAAGGGAGAGGAGGAAAGTTAGCCTGTGCCCGCAGGTGCCGTCACCCTGCCCTGCCGTCCTTTGCTCCTCGCTCCGGTCCCGTTGCATGTACCATGCATGAGACTGACTCTGAATTGCATCTTTTCCTGCAAGACTGTAAGCCCCTCAAGGGCATGGATTTGAACTACATCTGTTTATTTATCTGCCTCTTGGCGCATAACAGGCCTTTGTCAAACATGCATTGAATGAATGAATAAGTGAGGAAAGAGTCCGGAATCAGCTGGACATGAAGATGGCCTGAATAGGAATCAAGATGAGAGAGAGCTGTCACAGATGCCCATGGGCAGTGCCCTGACCGAGGAGAGGGCATGTGACAATTACTGCTGCCCCATCCACCCCCAACACCATGGCCACCACGTCCATTGACCTGGCCCTAGCCTGGGCCAGAAATCCTGGGCATCACTCTGCAAACATGCATTCCCTCATCCACACCCACAACACAGCAGCAGGTGTGCTCCCCGTTCTAGAGAAGAAAAGTGACATGGCTTGTGCCGAGCAGAGCCTGCCAGCGGTCAGAACAAATCCATGCTGCTGGCATCCCCACGGCCCTGTCTAGACCCTGATGTCAACACGTCTGCTGTTACAGTTACCATCATTGTGAGGAATACTGTCATCATTCGTGTTGTTAACATGGGTGAAAACAGCAAGAGTAACAAAAACTACCATTGACCAAGCACTCAATGACTCGCACCAGGCACAGCCTGAGGCAGTTTCTCCAAAATTCCTTTATGTAACTCTCTCAACAGTGCTAAGAAGTAACAACGTTTTCATTTTGCAGATGGGAAGCATGGTTTCTGGGTGGTCAGGTCTGTGGGACATCCAGGTCAAAAGTCTCTGGACCATGCCCTTCAATGGGTCCTCCAAGGACCATGAGCCTTGGGGGAGGTGGGAACCAGGTCTGATTCAACTCCGTATGGCCAGGCGTATCACAGTGGAGTGCTCAAATTTCAGTTGGAACATGAAACCAAGAGAAACATCTCAAGTCCCCGAGAGTCAAGGGTGTGCGCCCCGCTGGCCAGTGGGGTCTGAGAGCGACCACCTACCGAGGCTCCTCTTCTTGGCGTGGTGAGTCTGCAGCTGGATGGGACCCAGGACGACATCCACCTTTTCCTGGTAGGAGCCCACATCCCTCTTGGACCTCACCACGCAGCCTCGGTAGCAACGGGAAGAGTAGTCATACGCCCTGCACACCACCATTTTACACTGCAGGTACACGGAGGGGAAGCGGCTCAGGAAGTGGAAGGCACTGAACTGGAAGCGGGCAATGCCAGGAGACGGCTGTGAGTAGGGCCGGTAGCTTTCATCCTTCACGCATCTGGAAGAGAACAGCAGCCCCTTAGCTCTTACCAAGGCACGATTCCTCATGACTCAGCTGTGCCAGGCGAGAAACTCCACAGCCTGTCCTCACTGCCCTGGCCTCCTGCACACCTCGCCTTCCTTCTGTCAGAACGTGTGGCTCAGACACTCACTGCGGGGCCTGCAGACAAATCCTGGCAGCTGAAGCACCTCACCGGTATCTTTAGGCAGCAAATCCTGTGGGGACTTTCCCAACAGAGAAGCAGGCCCCATACTGCATAGTGGGTTGGGGCCTAATCCCACAAAGACCACATCCTCGATGGCCCCAGGTAAGCCAGGTGAGTCAGGGAAATAGCTGGAGTTTGGAGCCCAGGAGCGGGACCCAGAGACAGGGCAGAAAAGAAAATGACCTTTCCTTCTGTCTCCTGGTGCCAGAGCCAGGCAAGGTCCCATCTGGCTGCACTCTGAGTACAGAGTCCTGGCCCTCCTTCTCCCAAGGCCAATCTCTCCTGACCCTTCTCAGCCTGCCCTGAGTTTCAAGAGCTGTAGTTTCCACACTGGCCTGCAAACCCTCCGGAAGTCCCTACCCCAATATCAACTCCATCCTCTTTCCCTCAGGCATCTCCTCTCAGGTAGTATCAGAAGGAAAATAATCTCAGGATATACTTACAGGAATTTTCCTAAGATATGGAGGAAGCAGCTCACACCACCCCAGTTATTATAGAATTGTGGGATTTTGAAGAACATGGGAAAGAGAAGAGCCAGGACAGCTGGCCCACGGGCCCAGGATGGGCATTTCTCACAGGTGGTGGGTATAGTCTCCAGGGCAGCCTGGCTGCACCCGGGAACGTGGCCAGGGCCCGCTCTCCTCCTTCTGTCTTCCAGAGCCTCCTTCCTTCCTCCATGTGCAACCCAGATTCTCTCAAACACTGAGATTTTTTTTTTTTTTTCACAGCAGCTTCCTTAGTGGCAAAGGAGGAAGCAAAAATAGCCAGAGGCTTGTTCAGAGGTGGGGTCCTTGGGAAAAGGTTAGGGTCACTCAGAAGCCTCCGGGCAGTCACTGCATTTGTCATAAAACCCTGCCATTCAGGGCTCCACACAGACCAGAATGCCACAGCCAAGCACAGCCAAGGCTACACCTTGGAATCACTCAAGGAGTGCTTTCAGTGGCCCAGAATCATGCACCTGCCACATGGCAAAGCTGGCAATTCAACCTTGGTCTGCTCCAAATCAATGCTTTTTCCACTATACACAGGTCTTTTTAACCCTATGGCTGCAGTTCAGTCACCTGGAGTCTAATCCCAGTTTACAGCTAACGTACTGGGTGAACACTGCTGAGCTGTCTATTCTCCCCAGGTGTTAACTGGAGATGATACACGGTCATCCTACCTGATGAGAAATCAGGGATGTGATACAGAACACAGAGTAAAAGCACTTCAAAAGGTAAAAGCTACGGGACGTTACTACATGTAGAAAGGGATCTAGTTAAGCTTGAAGCTCTGGGAACTACAGTTCATCAAAATTCGCATTCCTCAAGCCTTTGAGGCTACTCACGTTTGAGTTACCAAGTAAAGGTTTAAGGCCATCTCTTAAAGACACTCCTTACCCGCTCCGGATGAGATCATAAGTCAAAGACGTGAAGTCATTGGAGTATGGTGATGCCACGCAGGTGTCCACAAACAAGGCCAGCGTGGCATCAGAATGGAGGATTTCAGCCTGAAGATACAAGTTCTGGTTCAGGTCCACGTAGTAAGGGCGGCTGGTCACAGGATACAAGAAAGAGGAGGAAGAATAAAAGGAAATGTTCACGTCGAAATTGCCATACTGCACTTCTTCGACCCGGATGGTGTCATTAGCAATGTACATGGTGTTGACCCAGGTGTTCTGAAGCATCTTGCAGCTGACGTGAATAAGGAGGTCCTTCCTCCTCTTGATGATGCCATGGGAGACTGCTGCTTTGAGGAAGTTGGAATAGTTGATGGTGTCATTGTCTACCTAGGAGGGGCAGGCAGGAGAGCAGAGTCAGGCACATGTCACCTGCTAAGGGAATCCCATGGCTGATGTGGGTGTGAACGAGAGGGGCAACATGACGCTACAAGACTTCCACCCCTCCCAGAACCACTTGGAGATGGCGTGTGCCTATCCTTTGGCAAGCAGAGGGCGCCAGAGTCCGCACTCTGGGTCCAGGTCTGGGGAAGAACCAAAGGAAAGGGTTCTGCGTTCTCCACCTGCTCTTAGTATACGTTTTCTGACTTCAAACTGTCTTAAAAAAAGGTTTTTTTGCTTTATATTTCAGTGCCAACAGTTGTCACAATAAGCCGTATGACTTAACAATCAACCGTATGACCCTTCTTCCTCTTTCAAAGACACTCTCAAGTGCTTTCCATTGAACTCTATACATTAACATAAATATTTGCGTGGATGTCACATTTGCATATGGTGTCTACAATGGAAGTAAATTCTGAATCCACTCCAAACAATGCACATGAAATGCAGATTTATTTCTTGGTCAGAAGAAGCAGATCTGATTTTAGATTAAAATCCATTATTAGATACTGCTCAGTTTGGAAGGAAGTCAGTTTGGTATGTAATGGAAAGTTTTACAGATAAATCAATGGATATTTCCAAAGAGACAATCCAACTCGTGGCAGGAGGGCCTCATCTAGCTCAGCCACACCAGCAAACTTTTATCATATACCTGCTAACCAGGCCAGCCTGGTGCAGCTGTGGGGAGCTCCAGTCATGGATCGCCCAGCCCTATGTCTGTGTCTAGACTCGCAGGTCATGGCCATTATTGCCTTGGGCAAGTGGCTTACCTTCTGTGAGTCTTCGTTGCCTCATAATTAAGTGGGAATAAAGTTGTCCTGATAATTTTAAAAGTCAGATAGCACACTTAGTTCAGTGTCTGGCATCCATATGAGCTGCTGATAATACTATATATCAATCCTTAGGCTCAGGACTGGGGCACTGGGGGTTGCAAAGATGAACGAAACATTGGCCCTGCCCTGAGGCACTCAGTGTGATAGGCAATATGAGTATTTAAAGAAAATAGAGGAGGCCAGGCGCAGTGGCTTATGCCTGTAATCCCAGCATTTAGGAGGCCAAGGCAAGAGGATTACTTGAGCTCAGGAGTTTGAGACCATCCTGGAACACATAGCAAGATCCCACCTCTACAAAGAAAAATGTTTTTAATCAGCTAGACATGGTGGTGCATGCCCATAGTCCCAGCTACTCTAGGGGCTGAGGCTGGAAGATCACTTAAGCCCAGGAGCTCAAGTCTGCTGTGAGCTGTGATCTGCCCCTGCACTCCAGCCTGGGCAACAGAATGAGAACCTGTCATTAAAAAATTAAAATAAATAAACAAGTGGAGGAATAAGAATGTGACATGTGCTGTGCATGATCAGCCAAGTTAGAAGAAACAGGGCGACAGGGTTGTCTGGCTGCTCCAAATGGGTGTGAATGAGTGTGAATGGTTGTGAATGGGTGTGAACAGGTGTGAAGGGCCCTCAGCAGGGCCACTCAAGCATCAGTCTGCAGGATGCATAATTGGCATGGGGCAATGGTCACCTTCAGTGGACTGACCTCCATTGACCAAACCCACAAGCCAGAACCCAACACAATTAAGGCCGGGCACAGTGGCTCACACCTGTAATCCCAGCACTTTGGGAGGCCAGAGCGGGTGAATCACCTGAGGTCAGGAGTTCGAGACCAGCCTGGCCAACATGGTGAAACTCTGTCTCTACTAAAAATACAAGAAAATTAGCTGGGCATGGTGGCAGACACTTGTAATCCCAGCTACTCAGGAGGCTGAGGCAGAAGAATTGCTTGAACCTGGGAAGCAGAGATTGCAGTGAGCCGAGATCGTGCCACTGCACTCTAGCCTGGGCAACAGAGGGAAACTCTGTCTCAAAATAAATAAATAAATAAATAATCAACAAAATTAATGTACAGGGTGAAATATAAAAGCCAGAACACATGTGTGGCATGCCCAATATATACTCATCTTTGCAAGTGAATCTACCTGGCCCATTAAAGTCCTCTCCAAAGAGGAAATGGTGTATTGGAGTCTCAGGGAGCCAGGTGACCACATGCCTGCTGCAGGCCCTTAGAACAAGGCTACAGAGCCCACGAGCCCAGCCAGCTGCTACATGAGAGTCCCTTTGCCCCTCAGTGTTTCTTGTGTGTCAAAGGAGCGGGGTTGACTTTGCCAGGCAAGGAACAGCATGACCTTGGCACCTAGCATGGTGCCTGCCACATGGCGCCTGCCACCCAGCAAACAATAGGACATTGGTGAATGAACGTGATCCGGACAAACTGAAGCCATCTGAACGTGTGTGTGCCAACGTGCGTGCTCTGTGCACTGTACTCAGGTGAGCCATTCATGCTGTGTATACTCTACACTCCCAAGCCAAATAAAAGCATTGGCAACTTTTTCTGTCTTTGACAGACAAAATCTTAAAATAATTATTTAGGTTCGAGACAAAAATTCAGAATTTAGAGTGGCTAACTTAGAATAAATTTATGCAAAGTTAAATGCCGCTATGACAAATGTCCGGTTCAATGAGGCCTGATAATGAGATTGCCACAATAAGAGTCAGAACAACTCCAGCCCAAGCAGCTCCTTCCTGCCCCTCTGCCATCTGCCCCCTCTGCTGTTCATTCCTTCCAGCCTGGCAGCCGGCAGCCAGGGGATCAGCTTTCAGTCATTACACACTTAACGTTCTCCTTCTAAGTTTCATATAAATGGAATCACAGAACACCCACTTTTCTCCATCCGGCTTTCTTTGCTCAGCATAATGTTTTCTATCTTCTCAGATGCCAACTTTAGCCCTACTACTTCCTGGCGGAGTAGCCTTGGTGCCTCTTGGCTCAGCCTCCCCCATAAAGTGGGGATGACGATAGGAGAATACTCGATGAGGACTGGGGGAGTATGATGAAGACTAATCACAGCATCTGCCACTGTAGGGTCACTACCTGTCCCCGTTCACCTGGAGTGAGGGGTTTCCTGGAACACGTGGGACTTTCTATGCTAAAATCTGCAAAGTCCCAGGCAAACCACAGAAATCTGTGGTAGGAGCTGTTGAAAATTTCAGTATAATCATAGTTGCAGCCACCTTCAAGCCTGTAGAGAAGGGACACACCATTTTGGCTTCACTTTCACCCAGAATTGGAGGCAGGAAGTCATCTCAGATGGTGATAGCTCAACAAATGGTAGCTTCAGAGGTCAACTGACTGTGGAGCTCATGAAACTGGAGCTTTGGGGGCTCCTCTACCCTGCCTGGTGCAATGTGCAGGCCTCCTCCAAGGCCTAGCAATGTGTTTGCACAGCCATACGTTTTTACAAAGTTTCTAAAAGTTCATAGATATTTGTATTCTTTGGCTTAATAAGTCCCCTGCCCCTCTCCACACCCACTCCCCAAAACCCTAACTATATAAACTTCAGGCCCTGCAAAATCTGGAGCTGCCCCAGGAGCTGCTGTTGTTATTGCTGATGGGACTGGCAGCCTGCCAGATGCCCTCTCTGCTGAACACAGCTGGAGAGACTCTACCTGCTAAGCTTCCTTCCTCTTATTTGGAAGTGACTGCAGCCATATCACAGCAGCAGAGGTTTATCTTCCTTTATTCCAATTATGTCCTGATTATACCCAAATCATAATTTCTATAGCCCCAGAATTCAAGAAGCCCAGCACATACCACTCTAAGAAAGCTTGTGCACTGGGACATGGAGTGGAAAGCCCCAGGCTTACCTGCTTGATGGTGCCGCAGCCTGAGTAGGGAATTGTGAATATCACCTGGCTCGGCGTTATCTGGGGCCGACACTGGTAGTAACCGTTCCAGTTGGAAATGACAAGGTCACTGGCAGAAAAGCCCAGGGATTGGAGGTAGCTCCTGCTCACACTGGCTTGCATGTGATTTGGCAGACAGAGCAGGTCTAATGGACAAGGACAGATAAAACACTCAGTCAGCGCCCCGGACTCCACCAGTATTATGGGGCCAGATGCTCTTTCCACTTAAAAAGTACACAGATCACAGTGGCTGACAGGGAGAGTCAGCACTTAAGATGTGGGCATAGGCCTCACGGAAACCCCCAAAGTACCCTGGGGTCAAGTCAGCCCCATCCTTATGAAAGCCCAAGGAGAACATGTGGACTCAGGATTCCTCTGATGGAGAAGTGGAGGCAGGATTTTTAAATAAGTGGAATACTTGGCCAAGTTACCATTTATCTATGAAGTAAAGTAACTGTATGGTCAAATTGTGGAGATATCATGAAACAAGGTCTTTTAGCCATGAAGCAAGTCGATCTTTAATCCTAAGAGCATAAGCCACCCTGCCTGGCCATTGGCCAATCTACACATCAGTTGACACAGCAACTCAAATCATGGCCATACAATCTCTGCTGGAAGTGGCTGAGTGACCTTATCTCTGCCACTTCCAGCCACTCAGCTCAGTTCATCTCCAGATAGAAGCCAAATGTGTTAGGTCTCAGGCCATCGTCACAGTGTCCCTCACTCTGAGAAAGTCACAAGGTTTCAAGCCAACTGGTTACCTCTGCCTCTGGCACCGACTCATCACGCACTGCTAAGAGCATCATCTGAGACTCTCTACTTAGGTCATTACTCTCTGATGACCACAGTAAGGCCAATCATCATCCGTCAGCCAGTTCTAGCCCTGACTTCATTTCTGGGCAGCCAGAGTCCCAAGGCCCACTGCTCCTGGCCCCTTTCAGCAGGAAATCAAGCTCTGGTGACCTGAAAGGGTGTCTTCATTTCTTATTTCACAACCACGGGACAGTTGAGCCACAGAAGCTCTCAGGATGTCCCCAGTCCCCCCAGAGCATTCCCACAGGGGGACGTACTGGTGCTGTCATTGGAGGGACTGGAGTAGTACTCAGCCCGGAACCCTCTCTTCGTGACGCTGCGGTCGCTGATGAAGCGAATGGACATGAAGTTGGAGGAGGAAGTGAAGGAGCCACTGGCCCCATCACAAACTCGAGCGATGAGAGGGGAACTGTGGTAAGGGCCGTCGAAAACTTCAATATAATCATAGTTGCAGCCACCTTCAAGCCTGCAGAGAGAGGACACACTGTTTTGGCTTCATTTCCTCCCAGAATTTGGTGCAGGGAGTCAGATCTCAGGGTGGGGTCGCACCTCTGTGCCAGAAACTCTGACAAAGTTCATCATTGAAAGTCATAGTTCTCCTTGGCTGGGCACAGTGGCTCACACCTATAATCCCAGCACTTTGGGAGGCTGAGGCGGGTGGATCACCTGAGGTTAGAAGTTCAAGACCAGCCTGGCCAACATGGTGAAACTCTGTCTCTAATAAAAATACAAAAAATAGCCAGGCATGGTGGCATGCTCCTGTAATCCCAGCTACTTGAGAGGCTGAGGCAGGAGAATTGCTGGAACCTGGGAGGCGGAGGTTGCAGTGAGCCAAGATTGTGCCACTGCACTACAGTTTGGACGACAGAGTGAGACCCTGTCTCAAAAAAATAAAAATATAATTTTAAAAAAATCATAGGTCTCCTAAAATCAAGGGAATCTCATCTTCCTCAGCCTCCATGCTGGGTTTTAGTCCGGCCCTTTGCAGTCACACATATGAATTCTGCAGCCCCTCACCTGTCAGCCCTTTACATCAAGAAAGGAAGGACTCACATCCTAATTTAAACCCTTTTTCTTCCACTGAAAAGTCCCTAGTGCCCCCACAGAATAAAATTAATATCCATGAGTTCATAGTGAGAGAAATAAATAATCGAATAAGTAAATATTGGGCAAGTCAAATAATCTCTCTGAAGCTTTTCCTACTTACAAAGGCAAAATTCTGATCCGTGCACCCTGAAGAGGGCTGTGGTGAAGCTCAAATAAAACAGCATACAGCAAAGGGCTTTGTAAAATGTCACAAATGGTGATGGTCATTTCTATCAAGATGCTGGTTAAAGAACCAGATACGGTTAACCTTCTCCCAAAGGACTGTATAGGTTTTACATGCAATCTTTGTATTGTAACGACAAAGAGAATAAAATGATGGATCTTTTGCAAAATCCCAAATGAATTAGTAAGGCAGAGACTCTAAAGTCCACTGCAAACAGAAATCAACAGAGAAAACAATTTTGTTCAACAGTGGCCGTTAGAGAAGAAATTAGTGTAGCCCTTTGTTCAGGACACTAGAAAATACTGTTGCCTCTTCACGGTCAACTGGGCCTCACTTCCTTGGATAAATCATACATTAATGTGCTTTGGATGTCAGGCACGGTGACTCACACCTGTAATCCCAGCACTTTGGGAGGTTGAGGTGGGAGGATCACCAGAGGTCAGGAATTCTAGACCAGCCTGGCCAACATAGTAAAAGCCTGTCTCTAATAAAAGTACAAAAATTAGCCAGGCATGGTGGTGCGTGCCTGTAATCTCAGCTACTTGAGAGGCTGAGGCAGGAGAATCACTTGAACCTGGGAGGCAGAGGTTGCAGTGAGCCGAGATTGTGCCACTGCACTCCAGCCTGGGTGACAGAGCAAGACTCAATCTCAAAAATAAATAAACAAACAAAAACCATGCTTTTGGTAATGTTCCCTCTGCCCAAATCAATGATTTCTACTTGTGATTGGATGAAGAGCAGATACCCTAACCTCTGCAGCAGCAATTCCCCCACCTCTGCCCGATCCCTGGGGAACTCACATGAAGGAAGGAGGGAGTAGAGAAAAAGGGCTCCACAAAGCAGATATGACTGTTTTTGTTTTGTTTTCCTGAAACAGGGTCTTACTTTGTTGCATGGAGCTGGAGTGCACTGGTGCTATCACAGCTCACTACAGCCTTGAACTCCCAGGCTCTAAGCGATCCTCCCACCTCAGCCTCCTGAGTAGCTGGGACTACAGGTGCAGGCCACCATGCCCAGCTAATTTTTGTATTTTTTGTAGATATGGGGGTCTTCCTATGTTGCCAAAGCTGGTCTTGAACTCCCGGGCTCAAGTGATCCTCCTGCCTTGGCCTCCCAAAGTGTTGGAATTAACAAGCCTGAGGCACCATACCTGGCCAGTGTGGTGGTTAATAAGATTATTTGTGTTATTATTGGCTCTAAGACTGTCATAACTCCTAGCAACCATCTTTTTCCATTGGATAACATTTTGTAAATATTTTCACATCTCTCTCTCTCTCTCTCTCTCTCTCTCTCTCTTTCTCTCTCTCTCTCTCTCTCTCTCTCTCTTCTATCTCTCTCGTGACCTTCCCAGGAACCAGTGAAGTGAGGAAAGCAGGTATTTTATTCCCCTCTTTTGACTGAGGCTCAGGAAAGTTGAATGACTTCCTGTGGTCATACAGCAAATAGGTGGCAGACCTAGGACTTGAAACCAGAGCTCTGTCCACTCCAAGGCTCTGTGCCTCCTCCCCTACTCTCCACAGGAGGCCTCTGGGCTAGGTCGAAAACTTCTCCTGGACAAACATCTCTCCTGATGCTCTAAGTACCATTTATTCTCTCTTGAAAGGTCTGTGGGGCCCCCAGGCATTCTTCATGGTACACACTTACTGGACATCTCTGAAGATCACAGTCACACGGTAGTTGCTTTGAACCTCAATGTCCCACACACAGTTGGCACTGTTCGGATAGTTCCCAGGATAGAATGGGCTGGAGAAGTGCCCTGATGGTTGGTTCAGGAAGCCTCCACAGGAATAATTTGCTGTCAGGACAAAACAGGCATCCTGGTGACCCCAGAGCACACTGCACTGTCACCTGGGGACGATCTTAAATTTAAATGACTTTAACAGTTTTAAAAATAATTCCCAAGACAGAAATCAAAGAAGAACAAGAGGTGGCCTCAACTGGGACTGTCCACTGAGGACTGGCGGGGCACTCTTGCAGGGAGACCACGTTTGGGAAAACCATCTCCCTCCCCAGCTCCATTGTCACCGAGGGAACGGGAAGAGGGATTTCCAGGCCACTCTGCCACAGACTCGTCATGGAGCTCAGAACTTACTGTTTGGATGACTGACGGTGGGAAAAGGAGCTGTTGACAGAAAGAAAAGATCAGGATCAGTTTTCTGGCATCCCTGGCCCAGCGGTTGAGTGCTCGTGGACTGTGCAGATGCTGGGTCTGCAGGGAGGAGCTGGGCACAGGCCTTGCCAATGGGGAGCTCACTCGCCCTTGGGGAGGTCTGGAGGAGAGCGAATCCCAGCAGAGTGGGAAGAGGCTGAGACTGAGCAAAGCCTAGCAAAGGAGACCTCGGAGGTCTCACCCCGCCCCAGATCAAGTAGGGAAAAGAGGGCAGCAATTACGGGGCAGGCAAAGAGGTAGAAATGGGGTGTCCCAGGCCGAGGAACACTGGTGGAAGAGATTTGGTAACCTCTGGGTGGATGGAGAGGCAGTGGAGGGGAAGAGAGCACCAAACATAGGGACTGCATCATGAGGAGCCCTGGCGGTCATGCTGTGCTGAGGAGGGGGGTCACCACCAGCAGCCCCTGAGGATTCACTTGAAGGCAGATGCACAGGAGAGAATGGATGGGAGGGGACAGGCCTGAAGCTGCTGCTGTGGGAGGCCAGGAGGAGGATGGCAAGGTGAGGGGGGAATGGAAGGCAAAGACCTGAGATGCCAGGGCCGTGCTGGGAACACTCAGAGCAGCTCAGGGGCAGGCAGGCAGGAGCTCAGCGTGCAGTGGGCCCCATTCGGCCAACACTGACCAGGGTCTGGTGTCTGGGAGGACAAGCAGGCCTGACAGGTAGCAGGCCTCGCCTTGGGACTGACTGGAGATCTGAATCTTACGTGGACCAAGCCACACTGTCCTGGTGGCCGGCAGGGGAGGGGACAGGAGCTGCAGGGGATGGCTCCACAGACGAACTCCTTGGAGAGTGAGCAACTCTCCCTGCACAGTCTAGGCAGCAGCAAGGAAGAGACCCAGACACCAGGGAGGCGGGATGGTAATTGGGAAGACTTACCAGTTGTGGACAGCTGGTATCCTGAAAAGGAAGAGAAGAAAAGCATAGGTTACAGATGCGTGGCTTGGAGGAGCGACCAGAATGAGGCAGAGATACACCCACACGGCTCATAACCTGCCCCGCCTCGCTGAGGGTCCACCAGGGCCACCAAGCGATTGCTGTTGAAAAGCCTACACAGCTTCCCCAGATGCTCCCTAAGTCCCATCGTATTTGGGGTCATCAGGATTACCGCTGAGGTCATAACACCCATCACACTCTACTTCACGATTGTTCCAAAATCATCCTAATGGTTGTCTGTAGCAAGTACTATCATAGCCACCCCAACTCAACAATCAAGGAAACTGAAGCATAAAGAAGTTAAATCATTGCTGGAGGTCCTTAGTCAGATGAGTGCTCGGCATAATGGCCCTAGGACCAGAAACTGGCCAAACATAAAGCAGCCCCTGCATGCCCTTCTGGAGTGCACAGGCCACAGGGACACATTGACCAGCTCCTGCTAGGGCCACAGACACCATCGGCCACTGGCCTTAAGCTCTCCTTTTATAGCAGGTTACAGGTGAAACAGGTCTTCCATGGCATTGGGCCATACCTGAGCAGATGACACCAGCATCTTCTTGGTGACGACAGTTGTGGGAGAACCAGCCTCGGTTCCGGCACTGCCAGAGAGTAGATTCTGTCCCCAAGCATTCTACGTCATCCAGGGTGATGGGGCCAGAGCCAGAGCCGAAATAGGCGTTTCCAAGGGCTGAGAGTGCATGTCCACACCCTAGCTGTCTGCAGACCACCTCAGCTTCATGAATGGTCCAGGAGTCATCACAAACTGTCCCCCATGTACCACGATGGTAAACTTCCACACGCCCAGCACATAGACCATAGGATGAGTTTAAATTGACCAACCTCAAGCTGGCATCTGAAAGACACATTACCTGAAAGATCATGGCCATGTCCCACAACAAATGTCCCACCACAAGCCTCAAAGGCCAAGCATCCCACAGGCCGTTCCCCACCCCCAAAATCACCAAATGGAAATGTGGAAAAGTTGGGGTGGGGGCACTGGACTGCTCCATGCAGAGCTGAAAGGGGCTCCAGACATCGCCAAGCTCAGATCCCCTCACCTCCAGATGGGGAGGGGTGACTCTGCAAGGAGGGTCACCAGGTCTCCTGGAGAGTTGGTGGCAGATCCAAGGCCAGGTCTGACCCCTAGTCTGCACCCTTTGCTGCCTTGCCAAGGGCCTGCCCCTCCTTGAGGCTCACACAGTCAGTGCCGAGAGGAGAATGGGCAACGCATCACTGAGACCCTTCTCTGATTTCCTTGGGGAACAACGATGCCCCCAAAGAGGCAGCTGGGTAAACCCATTAAGCCTCATAGGCATGGTCTAGTGTGTACTTACCGCTTGGGAAGGAGTTATACCAAGCCAAAAAGCCGGTATTTTGGAAACTGATGTCACTTCGAAAGTGAATGGTCATTCGGTTGTAAGAAGATGTGAATATTTGCCTGGTATCATTACAGATTTTCCCCAGCAGGTGGCTGCTGTTCAGTGATCCATCAAAGATTTCAACATAATCAAAACTGCAGCTATTGTGCCCCTCCAACCTGTATGGACAAAATGTATTCAAGTCAACACTGAAATTCCTATTGCCCCTCCGTTTTATAAATAGTTTGGACTTTACAAGTGATGCCACTGAATACAGGTTTTTCTTCTAGCTTTTCCTCAATTAAGTCAAAAGACTTCCCAGTATTGCCTGATGCTTTATGGTAGGGATCACAGCCACCAAACACTTGTCCACGGCACACGAGAGTGAAAAGCATCGCAGCCCAGGACACAGTCTAAACCACTGCGTGTGCTGCAAAGGAACTCACCCCTCACCAGATGTCCAAGCATTACTTACTGCAGATTACTGAAGCCCAGGTTTATGCGGTAATCGTAATTCACTTCTATTTCCCAAACACACTTAGCATTGTTGGGATAGTATCCAGGGTAGGATGGACTGGAGAAGGTCCCACTGGCATTGAATAAGAGGCCACCACAATTTGAAGAGGGTCCTAGAGAGGAGAGAGGGGACATCTCCATTGCACCAGGTCTTCAGGTATTTTGTGACAAGCAGTCATCTTCTGCGTTAAGTATCATCAGGTTTCATCCTCTGCAATTTATAACATGACTTAACTTTCCCTGTAAACAAGTCCCCTCTCTTGGGCCTAGTTCTAGGTGGCTCAACATTAGGAGCTTTGATTCAAGTCTCTGCTTTCCCTTTTGGGCCTGGACAGCAATCCTCTGGGAGGAAGAGACCTTAGCTTCAGAGGGAGCATGTGTCACCTGGAAGCAAAAATGCCAAGATACCAACAAAGTGACTGCTATCGTTGTTCAATCAGCTACAGACAGGGACGTGGGATAACATAGCGTAGCACTGACCGTGGAGAGCAGTTCATAACACAGTGTATTCCCTAGCATCTTCCATGAGCACAGGACTCTGCCATTTCACAAGTAGTGCAACGTGGGGTCAGGAGCAGGGTTTCCGCAATAGGTAGCCTGGGTTTGCATCTTGGCTCTGCCTCTATCAGTTCTATGATCTGGAGCCAGCTACTTAACCTCTCTGCCTCAGTTTCCTCATCAGAAAAATGAGAGTGGTAAAGGCATCTGCCTCATCAGACTTTTACAGATATTAAATAAGATACATATATACAAACATTTATACATACATGAGATATGTTTGTATGTCTATATAAACTTTTAGTACCAGATACATGAGCACCCAGTGATATTAGCTTTTATTGTTATTTATCAGAAAGGGATAAATACTAAATGGTCAAACATTTTGTTGGTTGGCTTATTGTAATAAAAACTTTTGAAAAACATGGGCACACTCAGTGATAGAAATTAAATTTTTTTTTCTTTTTCATAACTTTTTGTTTACTTTTCTAAGGAAGACAAGTCCATGGTTTTTAGCATACTCAGAGCTCTGAAACCACCACGGTCAATTTTAGATTATTTCATCACCCCAAAAAGAAACCTTGTACTCATTACAATCACTCCCCATTTCTCCATATCCTCCATTCCTGGCAACCACTGATTTCTCAGCATGTTTCATCACGTTGTAGCATAAATCAGTATTATTATTATCATTATTATTATTATTATTTGAAACAGAGTTTTGCCCCTGTCACCACCCAGGCTGGAGTGCAGTGGCACCATATCGGTTCACTGTAACCTCTATCTCCTGGGTTGAAGCAATTCTCCTAACTCAGCCTCCCTAATAGCCGGGATTACAGGCACCCACCACCACACCAGGATAATTTTTTAATATTTTTAGTAGAGACAGGATTTTACCATATTGGCCAGGCTGGTCTCGAACTCCTGACCTCAGGTGATCTGCCTGTCTTGGCCTCCCAAAGTGCTGGGATTACAAGTGTGAGCTACCACACCTGGCCACTATTAAATTCATTTTTATTGCTAAATAATACTTCATTGCATGGATGTACCATATTTGTTTCTCTATTCACCATGATGGACATTTGCATTGTGTTCACATTTGGCTGCTATGAATAAAGCTGTTCTGAACATTCACATACAAGTTTCTGTGTGGACATATGTTTTCATTTCTCCTGGGCATATGCCTAGGAGTACAAGTGGTGGGTCATATGGCAACTCCAGGTCTAACCTTTTGGGGAGCCACCAAACTGCTTCTCAAAGTGTCTGCACCGTTTTACATTCCCGGGAGCCATGCACGAGGGTTCCAATTTCTCCACCTCCTCACCAACTTGCTATCATCTGGCTTTTTGACTATAGCCCACCTCCTGGGTGTGAAGCGGCATCTCTCTTTGGTTTCCATTTGCATGTTCCTGGTGGCTAATGACATTGAGCATCTTTTCAATGCCTGCTCTGCCATTTGTATATCTTCTACAGAGAAATATCTTTCCAGTCTTTTGCTCATTGTTCAGTTGGGTTATTTGACTTTTTATCACTAACTACAAGAGTTACTTATTTATTCTAGGTGCAAGTCCCTTATCAGATATATGCTTAGAAATATATTCTCCCATTTGGTGGGAAGAAAGTGCTTCTTGAAGGTCCTTTGGCCTGCCCACCAGCTCTGTTTCTACACTGGGAAATGGTTAAGGATACAGTCAAACTTTCAGAGACAAGGATATAAATTACATATTTCTAAAAATTAAATAGAAATAGTTATAAAATATGCTATTGTATATAGTAACTTAACATTATACATTGTAATTGAAAACAATGTTTTTGCCCCACAATAAGTAGCCGATTAACTAAATTATGGTATCTCTATACAATGGAAAATGGTGTAGTCATTAAACCTTCTTCTATACAAATAATTTCAATGCTATAAAAATGCTAATTTTAAGGCCATGAAAAAGTATTTTATACACTTAAATAAAAATGATGGGTTATATAATGGGATATTAAGCATGTCGTTATGTGTGTGTGTGTGTGTGTGTGTGTGTGTGTGTGTATGTGTGTACAGTGTATGGAATGTATGCCAAAATGCCAACAGTAATTATGTATTTATTCATTAATTTATCCAGTCATTTATTCTTTCAATAAACATTTCTTGAAAGGCAAACACAATGGTAGATAATAAGGATACATTATGAAAAAGGCCCCTGCCTTCAGGAAATGCACAGATTGGCAGAAAAGATAAACATGATCTTTTGCAAATATATTTCCAGTTAGCTAACTCTCAAGCTTAAAACCCTTCCACAGCCTCTCTACCCTTAGGATAAAGATGGGACTCTTAATCTACTCACAAGGCCCTAACTGATCTGGCTTCACCCAGCAGATCTCCTACAGTCCCTCCTTGACACCACCCCACCCTCCTTCAAAGAGCCAAGCTCTTTCCTACCCTGGGGCCTTCAAAGCATTCCTTCTGGCTGGAAGACACTTCGGCAAATGAACCTGATCCTCTATTAACTCCCAGTTTAAATGTCACTTCCATAAAGAACTTCCCCTACCTCCCCAATTGAGGAAGATCTCTACTAATACTTCCTCTTTGCACACTGAACTTTTCCTTGGAAACACTTGTCACAATTGTAATCTTCTAGTTGGTTGAGTACTAAATAATATTGTGAGCTCTGAGGAAAAAGATCACTTTGTCTCTTATGTCATTCCATAATTTTACAACCATTCTTCATGGCAGTTTGACCATACACATAGCAAAATCTTAAAATACCTAACACAGTAAAAGTTAATATGTACAAAGTACATTCTATGTACCAGGCATTATGTTGACATTGACTTTATTCTAGTAAACCTATTTATATCCTAAAGAAAAAATTAGTGAGGTATGCAAAAAATATGTCTATAAAAATATTCTTCATCACAGAATAATTTACAGTACCGAAGAAATGCAAACAAATATCTAGCATCTGAGGATCTGTTAAATAATTCATGGCATAGCTGTATAATAGAATACAATACAGGCACTTAAAATGATGGTAAGAAAAGATTTCATTACACAGAAAAGTAGCCCTATCATTTTTTAAAAGCAATGAAAATCTATTGAAACATATCCATATAGTGAAATAAAAATGACATGGAAAAGCATAACTTGTAGTAAAATTATCCATTTACTATCTGTCTTCCTTCTTCTTCCCAAAGCTTTGGAGACACCCCCCAAAATAAAAGCCTTTAAATCTATTATTTTAAGAATACTTATCTCATTGATTCAAATGAAGAGAAAATACTGTAGAATGCCTTAGTTAGAACAAAAGTCATATTCCCAGCAGGGGAGATGTGAAGAGGGTGTGTGACTGCTGGATGAAAAGTGTAGTGAGACAAGCCAGGGATATGTGCAGATTGAGGAAGGCTGGGGGTGGGGGCAGAGCGTTCACTCATGGATAGCCACACTTACAGATAGGAAATGTATGACCTATGGTTCAGGTAGAAAATGTGATACTTACTTGCAGTGGTTGTAGTTATTGGATGCCACCAATCTAGAAAAAAAAATAAAGCTGTTTAGAATTTTACTAGATAATTTTTCCATTCCACAGTCATTTGCTTGATTGACACAGTTAAATCCTTTTCCTTAGTACAGGACTTCTCAGGGCCTTGACCATTTCAGTTTACGCTGTTCATGGCCAGTAAGGTCTAGAGTAGGTAGTATCTCCCAATGTATTTGGCCCAGGATATTCTCAATGTGGCACAAAGAACACCTTGTGGATGGCTCCCTCAAAGTGAAGGAATTCTTTATTTGACAAATATGTGCAGAAGTATTACTTGGCCCTATTTCTAAAATGAAGGTCCCAATTTTCCTTGGGTTAATTTAGACAGTTATTTTCATCTGACATGATGGGAGGCCCAAAGCCTCCTTCCATAGCAGCATCTGTGCCAGCACTTAGCACCCTAAGCAGGTGATAGCAGGAGGCCACAGGGGCCCTCTGCGGTGAGCCAGACATGAGAATGATGGCCATGGGAACTCAGCTCGTCACCCTCACAAAGCTCAGAGTCCTCAGAGAAAAATCACCCCTCAGGAGGAGCCGGCCCTACTCCTCCTACTTCTGGAAACAAGAGAAGGTGGAATTCCCAAGAGGAATATTACTAGGCTGGGGTGGAGCAGACTCACCTGCCACAGTAGAATTTATCTGGGCGGCTGCAAGGAAAAGAAGAAAACATGAGTCAGTCTCAGTGCCCAGGAGGATGAGTGAGAGAAATGCTGAGTACCTGTCCCCACCTGGTCACTTAGAAATACTCCCAAGGAGTCATTCAGGAAAATGGAATTATAGATATAAACCTTAAGGGTTTGTCTCAAGAGAAAGTGTTGAAAGAATTGATTCCTACAGCCTAAAAGTAGATTGAACCCTTGTTTGCCATAAGAACCTATGTAAGGAAAAAGCCAGCACCCATCCATAAAATTCAAAGACACCAACAACATTTGCTGATGTTATCGCCCTGTTGAGATATCAGAGAAACTGCCCATCTTGAAGAGGAGCTCGGGCTGAGGGGAAGCCAATGCAAAGAGAAGCCATGTCTTGGAGAAAAGTACACACTAAAATAGAGGCCCAAGGTCTTGGAGGCCCACCTGAGCAGATGACCCCAGCGTCTTCACTGTGCTGATAGTTATGGGAGAGCCAGCCACTGTGGGGACAGTTCCACAGGTCGGACTCACTCATTCCCTGAGCAGGGCATATCTTCCAGGACAATGGGTCCTGAGCCCTGACCAAACCTGGCATTTTCTGGGGCTGCCATGGCCCAGCCAAAGCGCAGCTGCCTGCAGACCACATTGGCACCATTGGTCTCCCAGCTGTCATCACACACGGTGCCCCAGGAGCCTTGGTACAGGACCTCCATCTGGCCCTAACACCAGTCACCTCCATTCACCAGCCTCAGGACCAAACCAGAATTGTATTCTAGAAAAGACAGGAAAATTCACTCTCTCCTGTATCTCCTAAAGGAAGAGGGTCTGAGGTCAGAGTGATATTCAGAATTCTTTTAGAAGGCCAAGGTTTCTGGGTCTCCAGTTAATGTTCTCCAGCAGCATAGACATTGGCCAAAGCCTGTTCTTCATCATGTTATCCTTAAGGGTTGTTTTCTAGAACCCTTGGGTGTGGACTGAGCTGTGCATGTTCTCCAGTGGAGTTACTCCAGTGCCCAGCAATTCAAGTGCTGAGCCTGGTCTTGAGATTCAAAGGTTAAAGTGCAGGAGCTGTCAGCCTGGATCTGCAGGGACCACTGGCTCAAGCGCCCCTGCAGCAGGATGCAACCAAGATCGGCTCCCAGCCACCTGACAAGGTGCAGCCTTAGAACCTGTTCTTGGGAGATTCCACCTCTCCACCTCTGGCTGACTCACTCTGCTCACAGGGACCACTCCATCAGGCCCAAGGCTTGTTCTGAGTCACTTTCAAACCCAAAGCTTGTCCTCAATATGCAATAAAACTTGGACCCACTGAATACCATGAGCTACAGGGACAGTGGGCAGAAGTGACTACGATGACACCTAGTTGTACATACCAGGTTGTGCCTATGCCGGAGAGTGGAGGGAAAATGGCAGAGTAAGGCAGGAAAGTCACATGCTAGACACAACACTGGGTCAGGCATCCTGATCCCTCTGTGTACCTGAACTCTGTCCTGTGAGCCTGGGAGCTGGGCTAAGATACTGACATTAGTCTAGGTGCCCTGGTCTTCAGTTTAGCATCTACAAAATGAAGCCTCTGTTCTCCCAAGAATATGTACAAAGGGCCCACCAGCACATGAAAAGATGCTCAACATCATTGGTCACCTGGAAAACACAAATCGAAACACCATGAGATACCACCTTACACCCACTAGGATGGCCATGATGAAAAAGACATCTTAACAAGTGCTGGTGGGGATATGGAGGAATCAAAATTCTCAGGCATTACTAGGAGGAATGCAAATTTGTGCAGCAGCTGTGGCAACTGTTTGGTGTTTCCATGGTAAATTAAACAGAATTACCCTACTACCCAGCAATCCTACTGCTAGGTATATATCCCCCAAAATTGGAAACAAGTGCAAAAAATTGTATACTAATGCCCACAGCAGCATTATTCATAACAGCCAAAAGATTAAAGCAACTCAAATGTCCATAAGCTGATAAATGGATAGACAAAAGGTGGCATAGCTATACAATGGAATATTAGTTGGCAATTAAAAGTAATGGAGTCCTAACACATGCTAAAACATGAATGAACCTTGAAAACATATGTTAACTGAATGAAGCCAGACAGAAAAGGCTATGATTCCATTCACAGAAATGATCAGAGTTCTTTAGCAAAATCTGCAGAGACAGAAAGCAGATTAGTGGTTGCCAGGGGCTGAGGGAAAGAGGAATGGGTTATGAATGGCTAAGGGGTAAAAGTTTTCAGGTGAGGATAACAAAAAAGTCCTAAATGAGACAGAGGTGATGGTAATGAACATGGCCAACAGCCAGGGAGAGGGAAGGTTTCATCTTGGGATAGAGGGGTAACATCAGCCAGCAAAGAGCAGAGAGTATCAAAGGAAAGGAAGGGTCAAACTGAGGGACTGCTGTCTCTGTCCTAAACATCCTGCCTGTTTTTTATTCTAATAGAAACAGTCATTTCTTAAAAAAAAAAAAAAAGTAGCATCCTACAAGGTTCAAGTAGAACCTAGTGCCCACATCCTTCCCATCGCCCCTAGGGAACATGAAGGTGGGTATAGAACTCTGATGGAGCCATCAGAGCTAATTGAGATGGTTTGGAAGAAAGCAGCTGTGGACAAGCAGGTCAATCAGAGTCCTCCCAGGCCTTGTCAGACAGAGGTACCGGGACAGATTGATTCATTCTCCTGGTGGGAAATAGACTTGTGGCTGCCCACTGCTGTCTTCCAGCCTTGTGAAAAAAGCAACTTGACAGTGAAGCCCACACAGAGAAAAGAGTAGACGTAAGTAAAGCATAGGAAAAGAAGACTTGGAACTTCTGGAAGCAGCTGTACCTGAACCTCCAGATCTACCACTAAACATTCTGGACACCTGAGCCAATGAATTTCTTTCTAGCTTAAGAGAGTTTGAATTGAGTTCCTGCCATGTGCACACAAAAGCATCCCTAATACTAGATCCTCTTTAAAAATCAATTGACAACTGGTAGATAAGGGAACCTTCCACATTGGATGAGGTAGGGAGTGGCTGTAGGCTTCAAACAGGGCCCAGGAGTTTCACCCAGACTTGCTGAATGCCAATGTCTTGGCTGGACAAAGATCCTTCTTTTAAGGGGTCCAAGCAGATTCTACCCACCATTTCCAGCTCGAAGGAGATTAACTCTGTGTCTGGATGTGATGACCAAGTTGAATGAAAACCAACCCTTTCCCTCACAGGTTTTAGCAATTCACAAAGTCAGTCAGTCTCAGGATACCACTCCAGCAAAAATCCTATGTGTAATCTTCTAGCACAACAGACAGGCAACAACCAAGGCTTTGCCTGGCAGATCTCATGGGGTCTGCCCTCCCAACAACAGACTTGGCACATAGTCAATGCACTGCAGTTCTTTGGAAGGAACCGAAACTGACCAAGATCCAGGTCACACATGCACAGACACCATTGTACTCCTAGCCCATATGCCTACAATCCAAATGCTCCTTATAGGAGGCTCAAGTGAGAATTCCCTACCTCAAAATATGTCCTCTCCTCTCCATGAGCCTCCTACCAATGAGAGGATCCCACCCTGTCCCGCTATCTGTGCTGTGTCCACGATACCCTCACCCAGTGCTACTCAGTAGAAGAGAAATGGAGCCCTGGGGAGCCAGCACTTTTCTCTTCTGACTTCCTTGTACTGCCTCAGGGTGGGGATAAAGTCTGGGTTGTTGTTCGAGTTTGATCCCCTGTCCTAAGTTACCACAGGAACACTAGAGAATGAATTCATATGGATTCTGAGCAGAGCGCTAAGGAGATTTCAAAAATATGAGAAACATAGAACAAGTTTTAAGTGGGGAAATCACAATGTAATTAGGACTTTCTTCCTGAGCAAACTCCAGCCCAAGAGAGGGAGCCCAAGGTCTTGGAGGCCCACCTGAGCATGTGACACCAGCGTCTGCACTGTGCTGACAGTTGTGGGAGAGCCAGCCATTGTGGGGGCAGCTCTACAGTTGGACTC